AATTTGGATATAGATTTATCGGCCAACATATCGGTTATCGGCTTTCAAAAATAAAGAATAATCGGTTATCGTTATCGGCCAAAATTTTCATATCGGTGCATCACTAATATATATGTATGTATGTATGTATATGTATGTGTATCACCATTCAGTGTGTTAAAAAAAGAGAGAAGCTCCCTGGTAAATGTTGTGTGTTTTATACACACACCTCTGATGACCGAGAACAGTGCAGCCTTTTCAAATGCCTCTTTCTGCAGCGGACCACCCCCCTTCATGTTGAATTTGGACATGAGGGATTTTTAAAAATAAAACCCTAAAATATAATACAGATTGAGGTGGTTAACAATTGCAGACAAAGTTTGACATTTCAAAATGACCAGTAAAGGAATTATTTTTTAATTTCTGATTTGCGTTGTAACTGATTGAGCATTGACACCACAATGTGTCAATGATAACAAATAATATAGATAAATAATGAACACATCAAAACGAAAACACAGATACTTACAAGACCAAGTAGGAATGTCCTTTATCGTTTATCGTTTGTTGTTTGTCCGCTGCTCTCCGACAAGTAAACTTAGCGGTTGGGAATTGTAATTGCATTTTTATTTATAAAATGAAAGTGAGTGACGTGGCATGACATGTGGCCAAGTATACTTGGAATTAGTGCTCTGCATTTTAACCCATCCAAAGTGCACACACACAGCAGTGAACACACACACACACCGTGAACACACACCCGGAGCAGTGGGCAGCCATTTTTGCAGCGGCGCCCGGGGAGCAGTTGGGAGTTCAGTGCCTTGCTCAAGGGCACCTCAGTCGTGGTATTGATGGTGGGAGAGAGCGCTGTACATTCATACATACAGTTTTTATGCACAACTCTATACTTCCACATTTAAGCCACAAATTTCTGATAGCTTTTTTGAGAGGGTTCAGGCATTCACACCCATTATAAGTAATGATATGTTGTCTTGTGAGATGGATTTGTCGTTGGAAGAGTTGGATGTTATCATTCATAAATCCCCCCCTTAATAAAAGTCCAGGTCCAGATGGACTGCCTTTTGAATTCTACAGGACCTTTTGGCAACACATAAAAGAGTTTCTTTTAGAAGTGTTCAGAGACTGTGTACAGAAAGGTGAATTGACTGAGTCCATGAAGCAGGGGCTAATTACTTTAATTCTAAAACCTAACAAAGATTCCCTGTATTTAGATAATTGGCACCCGATTACTTTACTTAATTCAGATTATAAATTGTTAGCTTCCCTTTATGCAAACAGACTGAAGCCATGCTTAGAAGAAATTGTTTCTGTTTCCCAGTCTGGCTTCATGAAATGCAGGCACATAGCAAATAATATACGGTTAGTGTTAGATATTCTAGACTATAAGGAATTAATAAACGGTAAAGCAATTATTTTATTTTTAGACTTTTATAAGGCCTTTGATACGGTCGAACACGAGTTTATGATTGAATCTCTGCGTAGGTTTGGTGTTGGTCACTCTTTTGTTAAAATAGTACAGATTCTTTACAAAAATATTAATAGCAATGTCTCTTTGGTAATTGGTGTTTCTCCTCGGTTTGTGATCAGTAGGGGTATCAGACAGGGGTGTCCCATTTCACCTTTTTTTTTTTTATTGGTAGCTGAATTTCTTAATATTTTTATTACTCATTGCTTGGATGTTCAGGGTATTCTAGTAGCGGAACACACTTTTCTAATTAGTCAACTGGCGGATGACACCTGTCTGTTTTTAAAAGATGAGAAGCAGGTTCCTGTTATTTTGGATGCTTTGAATTTATTTTCTAAAGCTTCTGGTTTCTCAGTCAATCGAAATAAAAGTGAAATTATGCCCGTACACAGTCTGGGCAAAGATCAAATACTTTGTAAGATATTTAGGTATTTTAATTTGTAAATCTCCGACTGATAGAATTGTAGATAATTTTTCGCAACGGATACAAAAATCAAAGAATATTTTCAACTGTTGGTTACAAAGAGATTTAACCATTTATGGTCGTGTTTTGATATCTAAAGCAGAAAGTATTTCTAGGATTGTTTACCCAGCTTTGTCTTTATATGTTGACCAAAAAACATGCTCATCTATCGACTCCATGTTATTTAAATTTTTGTGGAAAAATAAAACTGAATATGTTAAAAGGAAGACGCTGATTAGAAATACTTTGGAGGGAGGTGTGAATGCTTTGGACTTTAGTACTCTCAATCAAGTTTTTAAAATTGGTTGGATTAAATGTTGCCTGAATGCTGACCGTAATTTGTTATG